GACATATTTCCACAATAAGTGCGATTGCTTGAAAGTTGTAATTTTGGTGAAACACAGTGCTTGCATACAGCTTAGTTATACCTAAATTTAGAATCATAGCAAAGGCACCAATTTTATTATTGTTAGCTTGCAAAACATAGTGATTTTATCCCTGCTCCACCTCTTACATTTATGTTGTCTTTAATATCATATTAGCAGTTTGAATTCTTTATTTAATATTTTTCCTCTACCACCTGTTGTGCTCAAAGCTGTGCTTTATTTTGCGGCGTCGGCCTTCACTTCGCATCTAAAACTCTGCAGCTTAGGGGACCTCCGCATACTCTGCCTCCTGCCTCCCTTTGGTCCTCTGTGGTCGTGGAGGCCATGTTGTAGTTCAGCAGACGATGTGAGCAGTCATCTCTTTAGACGGGCCCTGGGCCAGAGTGCGGTGGGCGCAGAACGGCTGAACCCAATCAACCTATCGATCTCTGCTGGGTGACTTGGGCGAGGCTGGCACCGTGCACATCCTCTGCTCCGGGCGAAAGCTTCCCCTCCCCGTCCTCTCCTCTCCCCCCCCACCCCCCTCTTATGGCTCTGCACAATGAAGCAGACTAGTGATGTATGGTTGTCACTGCGGCAACCTCAAAGAGAAGACTGATCTTCATGATTATAAGTATATACTGAATATTATAGTGTTATAGGTCCAGTATTTAGCAATTGATGTGCTTTGTCATTGTTCTCAAATAACCTTTCTCTGCCTATAGTCCAGCCCTGCGTTGGTACTGCACAACAGCAAGAGACCCAACGCGGGCGTTATGTTGCAGTTAGGGTGACGATCTGTCACTATCACGTGCGGCATAAGGGAAATACACCTCGTAGCTGGCGCAGAAGCTTGAATGTGTAGCGGAGGCCATCGCATTTACTCCTGCACTCCTGACCATTCCAGACTGCATGATGCGGTAACCTCATGATAGCAGGCGTCTGTGTGTGAGCGCTTACTGATCTGTCAGTTCAGCCCGACACTGTATCTCGTTGAGCCTTACAGTCTCTACCTCCTCTTTATGATCTGGGGGCTCCGTGTGCCATGATTTGTGCTGGAATGTGTGATTTGTGGAGCGGCAAGTACGGCTAACCCTAATTTAACAAAAACCGGCTGATCGATCTCTCGCTTGGGTGACTTGGGCGAGGCTGGCACCGTGGCACATCCTCTGCTCCGGCGAAACTTCCCTCCCCGTTGCCTCTCCTCTCCCCCCCACCCCCTCGGCCACCCCCTCCGACCCCCCTCACCCCGCCTACCCCGCGCTGCATCTTCCGTCTTTACTTTCGACAGCCGGGTCGCGCAGGTAGCCATGGAGACCAGTGTCCCATTTTTCCTGGCTACAGTGGGCTTTCTTTTGCAGTGCAAGCTAGGACCGTCCTCTCCTCCCTCCCTCCTTCGCTCTCTCAGTTTTATCTATCCGCCGTTCTTGCCGTCCGTCTTCTTCCTCACACATGCGCACAGATTGCTTGTTGCATACACTTATCAGACGTTCAGCTAATTTTGAGTTACTCGGCACATTCAGCAACTTCTTCAGAATACATCCATTAAAAAAAACCTGTGCTGCCTGTCCCTGCGAGGTATCTTTATAAATGCTTGTTAGACAGTAATAGACATTTTCCATCATTCCAGTGTGTGTGTGTGGGTGTGTG